ATGCTTTTGCAGACAGAGCTAGCCCAAATTTGATTCGTGTGGAGAGAAATCCTATAACCAGTTGCAATCTCAACCTGTTTGGAGAGCTTCTAACTGTTGCGGCTTCTACTAGAATTAGAAGCTTCCCCAAACATTTTAGCTTTTGGTCCAAATTCTGAGAAGCTGTAGTTGTAGATTCCAGAAAATAGACTAAAAGTCAGAAGTTGGATTCCTACCTTTTCCTGATTCCCACCAGCTAGCTTCTCACCAGTTGCTTCTCACAATCTTAAGCTCCCCCAAATAGGTCCTAGAAGTCAGAAGCGGGGAAACCCAGCTTTTTCCAGATTCTCAGAAGTTGGCTACCAATCAGCTACTTCTCAGAATCTTAAGCTCCCCAAACAAACCCTATATCAGTTTCAAGCCTTGAACCCGATGGATTGCGAGTTCGTTCGGTGAATGGTGGATCGAGCTTATAAAGGCATGGCGCCTCCTCAATGCTCCTAGAAGATGATAAGTTAAGAAATAATTAAAACATGATTATTATCCCTTTATAATGGTGATGGTTTATTTTTTAAGGGAATAATGGTTACAGTTTTTAATCTTTATCCAATGCAGATGCCCACCTCCTCATATGATGCCCTTACAGATATGGATGTTGATAATTAAGCAACAACTACAATATAACTATTATCCCTGAATTTATAATGGTGACGGTTCTCACTTTACATACTATAGATGCCCATCAGACTTCCATCTTTGTAGGAGATACTCCCTCCGTCCTTAAAAAAACTTACTTATGGGTTTGAATTTGTAACGTATATCCAAATTCAAACCCATAACTGAGTTCTTTTTAGGACGGAGGGAGTATGTGGGTTGCATCGTGGCCCATGGGGCAGGCAGTTTATTCAAATAAAAAACTAAGTCCATAGCAGGTGCCTCCAAGCAGTCTAATATGAAAGTAACTATTGCTCATTTGATACTACTTTGAAGCCTAACTACTAATTTGACCATACGTTTTTAGTTTGTTCATTTGAACTCTTTTTCAAAACTGAAGATCAAAGTTGTTCCTATTATGTGAAGACCAAATAACAGTGTTCGCTAAGGGGCAAATTGTCTGTTTTACCTTTGTTCATTTGATCATGTTATATCAAAGCTCTTTATTATTTGGAACTTTTTGAAATATTTGTAAGGAATTTGTCTTCAGTTTAACAAGTTTGTTTCAATTTGATAGATTTTTTTTTTGCAAAACTTTGATAACATATTGTCCAACAACAAATTCATCCACCACTCCCTCCCCACTCCATACAGTGGCACCGCCCCTCCCTCCCTCCATCCACGCATAGTAGCCACCGTCCTTCCTCACTCTGCGTACCGACGCTGATGCCGCTCCCTCCACCCTCTGCGTGTCGGCGCGGCCCCTTCCTCAGTCCTCACTCCACGCGCTGGCACCGTTGTCCCTCCCTCCGCGCGCCAGCACCGCCCCTTCCTCCCTCCTCACTCCGTGCATCAACACCGCCGTTCCTTCGTGTGCTGCAGCCGCTGTCGTCCCTCCCTTTTGTGCGCCGGTGCCCCCGCTCCCTCCAAGTGCTGCCCCTCCCTCCGAGCGCCGCTACTCCTTCGAGTGCAGCAACCGCCGCTGCTTCGATCTCCTTCCTCTGTGTGCCACAGCCACGGTCGTCCTTGCCTTCACGCATCGGTGCCATGCGCCGACCAACTGTATCGCCGAGAAATTGGATCGATTTTTCTGTTGGGATAGGGTTTGTATAACAAGGGGCATTTGGGTCAATTCACGCCAGCAAATTCATTTTTTTTTCTGTTTCCTAACTGAAACCCTGACGGACTAGTGAAAACAGGGTCAGATGACGGTTTTGATTTTAAACAGCAGGATCAAATGAGCAAACCTAAAAAAGTAGTGTCAGATTGGTAGTTAAACTTCAAAACAAGGTCGAATGAGCAATTGCTCCAATTTGAAACATCTGCAATCAATTCAACAACTACGATTAATTGGGATGATGTATTCTCTAGTGCTGGATAAATAGCACTAATTGTAGTTAGGGGGATGGTTTGTATAGGTACGTAGGATTCCCCTCAAAAATAATACTTGCCCAAGCAGCCCCAAACTCCCAAAGAGAATCTTCAGTGTATGTCATCCAATTTAGAGCACTTTTAGGATATGCCACTTAATTCGCAGCACTTTTAGATTGTGCCACTAAGAGTGCAAATTCCTTCTTTCCATGCCACTTCCGTCGTTTGATGTTAGTTCTCCGTCCTCGACTCGCCGGCAAGCTCATCTTTCCACCACACGTCGCCGCCGGTAGGACAGTCGACGATGAGAAGTTCATCCATCCTCCACACTGCTACCGAGGAGGGGGGGTCCTCTTCCTATCTTCCAAGCCATTGAGGAGGCTAGGATTGCCTCCACACTTCCCGGTCAACCTCTTTAACGGTTGCTCCAGCAAGGGATGGGCGAGAAGAAGTCGATGAGGCCATTCTCAAAGATGGAAACAGGAAGCAGGGCTGGGTCAACCTTGATGACGCAGCCCTCCTTGACGTCTCGGGCTGCTCTGGCGCAGGATTGGCCGGCGGACATAAGTCAAGAAGAACGTCCTCGGTGACGAAGACATGAAGCATGGGTTGGTCCAACCTCCGCTGCCTTGTGCTGCTCCGATGCTGTCGGTGAAATGGGCCCGGGGGTACGCACAGTAGAGGGAAGTATCCTTCCCGTCTAGTCGCATGGCTACGCGGCCTCGCCTTCCCCCGCCCCTCGGGTAGCGCTGAGGTGGCCAGGGGGCCTCGGGGTGCCACGTCGCACCCCTCGGGCTTTCGGGGCGTGCTACCCCGAGGCCCTCGCCCAACCACCACGTGGCAGGGAGAGCGGGCGGGGCGAAAGACACTGCTCCGCGCCTTTAATGCGGCGTGGAGGGACGTGCGGCGCCGCTCGATTGACCCATGTCAATCGAGCTTGACCAGCCTGTGATCGGTCACAGGCGACAGGACGGGGGTAGTGCCCCCACGTTCCGCCCTGTGTCAGGCGGAGTGGGGGCAGGTATGCCCTGTCCCGTCGGCACGCTGCCAGGGGCACCCTACGCGCGTGGTGAGCCGCCGAAGTCTTCATACAATTAATAGGGAATGACGGGGATGTCCCCTGTGTCAGGCAGGGGGCGGCGCTGGCCCCACCTGGAGCCAGGCGACCATGTCACTTCCGGTTGAAGCAAAAGATAGCGGTATGATTAGGGCCATGTGGGCCCCCGATGGAGGGGTAGGTGCAAACGGTGCATGTGGTATCCCCTTGGACTATAAAAGGAGGACCTCGCCCACCGAGAAAGGGGACGACTCTCAAAGAACTGGAGCTCGGAGGAAGAACAGCTAGGTTTCCCTTAGAGCTCAAAACCTATTGTAAAAATTCACCATAATCCCATACACAGGAGTAGGGTATTACGCTCAATAGCGGCCCGAACCTGTATAATCCTTGATCTCCCACATAGCCACGAGAGCGATCTAGCGATTAGACCGCAAACGGAAGTAGGCCCTTGATCATCGCGCCATTTCCCCCGGCCGAACTCACAAAGGGGGGGGTCTCACGGCCACCCGCTAGAGAGGATCGCTCCTCAACAGACGCCTCCCTCCCAGGCCTGGTTCTATGATTTTGAGGGCCCTAGGCGAACTCATCGCGATGGGCCCTCTAAGCTATATATAAAATTTATTGATATATATAGACGCTAATTTTATTTGCAAAATGAAAACAAATACATCCATATATTAAATAACATGCCTGGTAATTATCAAGAAATAAAGTCAACCAAAATAACAATATATTTGTAATTTGGAGCTAATATAATTATTCATAAACTTAATGAAGAATAGAACCCCATCATATCCATTGCTTCCTATGAAAAGATACTTCTTCGGGCATTTTTTGATGCAAAATCATCAAGAACGGTATTAAGATCAATCGTGTCCAAGATATCCTTCTCGATTGAGCACATAACCAAGCCATTTAACCTTTCTTGCGACATAGTTGATCTCAAATAGTTCTTCAACAACTTCAATTTTGAGAAACTTATTTCAACTGAAGCTCGTCACAAGTACGGTTAAGAGAATTCGATAGGCAACTGAAACATTTGGATATAAATCTGCATCCATAACAAACTTCAGAATCTCAGGCGCGGACATCGATGAATCTGGCAAACTCACTTGCAACACCTTTAATTCTGAATAAAAATAATTGATTTCAACATCGTATGAGGTACTAGACTACTAGTATTAGGTGTTGGCTCCCCACCATCATGGGCCCCCAGCGGTCGCCTCGGCTGCATAAGGCCAGGGCTGGCCTTGCTCCCTCCCATGACGTACCTTCTCCTTCCTCCCCTTCTCCATCCTCCGCATGACCGATGCCTCCCTCTTCCATGTCTCCGTGATGCTCACTGTGTCAGGCGACCGGAGAAGGCCCCTATTCTCCGTGATGATGCGATGGTCGCGGCAGACTAACGCAATGCTAAGGGCGGGTCCGGCTCGGCAATGGCGACGGGTTGGAATGGCACGGGGACGGCGGTGCTGAACAGTGGGTGAGCGGTGCTTACTGAAGGGCGGCTGGATAGGCGGGACCACAGTAGTGGAGTGGAAAGAAAAGAAGGAAATCATCACACTCTTATGCGCTGTTTAGTTCCCAAAACAAAAATTTTCACGCTATCACATCGAATGTTTGGACACATACATGGAGTATTAAATGTAGGAAAAAAACCAATTACACAGATTACGTGTAAATTGCGAGACAAATCTTTTAACCCTAATTGCCTCATGATTTGACAATGTGGTGCTACAGTAAACATTTGCTAATGACGTATTAATTAGGCTTAATAAATTTGTCTCACAGTTTCCTGGCAAAATCTGTAATTTGTTTTTTTAGACTACGTTTAATACTTCAAATGTGTCTCTGTATATCCGATATGACAATCACCCCAACTATGAATAGAGTGGCATATCCTGGAAGGGCTCGGGTTGGATGGCATATACTGAAAATTCTCATTACTCACCCAAGCGCCATTCCCTCCGTTGTGTAAAACCCTAAAGTCCTAAACCTCGCCGTCGCAGCCGTGCACCGCCATGGCGGCATCCCCGGCCCCTCCCGGCCCCACCTTCCTCCGCGAGGTCGAGCTCCGCCTCCTCCGCTGCACGCTCCCCTCCCCGGCCACCCTGCCTCCCCCGCCCTCGCCTCCCCCTCGCCACCCGCTCGCCCCGGTCGCCGCCTCCGCCGTCGCCGCCGTCGACGCCGGCGACTACGCGGCCGCCCTCGCCTCCGCCGCCCCGCACCTCCTCCCTCCCACCGCCCCCGCCGCGCCGGGGTCCGCGGCGCGGTTCTACGGCGACCTCGCCGCCGCCGCCGAGGGGTTCCTGCGCGGGGACGACGGCGGGGCGGCGGCGGCTGGCGAGGGGTTCGAGTGCAGGTGCGCCGTCGTTCTGTCGGCGGCGGTGGCCGCGATTCTCGCGTTCACGCAGCAGAACGTGACGGGGTGAGTTGGCTGGTTCCCCTCTGAATTCTTCTTGCTGAGTTGTGAGTTGTTTGTCCCCTGTTTCACCTTGTATGTGATTAGCTGAATTCAGCTTTAGAATATGTTCTCTTGCTGGAAAAATTGGTTTAAGTTCTTCAAAACGTAAAAAAAGAAATTGACACATTCATGAGAGCTTGAGCTTTAGGGGACCAAGTTATCGGAAATTTGGGTGCATGTTGAGATATGAAATGCTAAATTCAGAGTTTCCCGTTCCCTAGGATAAGCTGATGCGCAATGGCCAGGTCTTTAGAAGATATTCTTGCTATAATAGCCAAGCGCCTGTATGGCTGTATGCTGGAAATCTTCTTTTTTCTTTCTTTCTTTGTGATAAAAAAGACAGGTTATTAGGCAAATAATCTTCAAATAGTTGATTGGTTGAATCCGCTCAATTGATACACACAGTACCAGTGTGCACTCAATATGAAGTTTCCATGGTCTAATACGGAGATTCTGATGGCCCAAATAGAAAAGTCAAACAGGGGAAGAATCGTTCATACTCCCTTCATCTTAAATTATAAGGCACAACTACCCCTAAACCAAAGACAAAGAAAAAAAATTATTACCACTTCTTCGTTTGGATCACCCCAATAAATACAATGCATGCACCAATCTTGAGGATGAGGATTTTAAAAAAAAAGAATTTAGAGGAGGAGGAGCTACTAGTTAATTGCATGCACACATTATATTATGGGATATGAAAAAACGTGGTTACGCCCTATATATTGGCATGGAGGGAGTAACATGCTAATCCTCAATTGGCAAAAAAAAGAAAATAAAAAGAAAACTTGCTTCTACTGGGTCGAATTGAGCTTCTTCAGCAGAACCTTGTGTCCACCTGGTCAAGGAGCAGTGTCATGACTCGAAGGTCACCGGTATACAATAACGTGGATCAAGGGAGTGGTGCTCTTAACAAAGCAAGCATGGCTAGAGCAGCAGCGCCTCTGTCTTCCCAATCCCCTTCCCCTCTTTGGTCTTCTTAATCCATCATGAAGCAGCTTTGGAAGGAAGATATGTTTATCCATGATGAAGCAGCCTCGCTAACTTCTCAGGCTGCTTTTCCCCTCCTCTCCTCTCCTCTTGTCCCTCTCCCCTCCTCTGTTGTGCCTCTACCCAACTATCTGTGTCACACACATACCGTCTGTTCTCACCTCAGGATGCCGTCTTCTGCTGCCTCTTTACCCCTCCTGTCCTGGTCGATGAGAACGATGACCCTTTCAATGGTGATCTCCCTTGAGCTTCAGCTCCTGTAGAGCTTCCACTGCCAGTGTGCAAATTGATGACACACTGCAGCTTCTTCCATAGGTCTGGCTCTACTTCATGTTATTCAACGCCTATGGCTTCACCAACACATAGGTGATGTTCCTCATTGAGCATGCCCTGGTCTGTCATGACCTATTGAGCCACCACATTCTTCCTTGATGACACCGGCAACCCATTTTGCTGCAATTACCATGGCATGGTGGGGCGAGTTGGCCATAAGCCTGGATGCACGTGGAGTGAGGGCTGTCCAGGCCTCAGTAGGTGGGGCTTTGGGAGTGGACAGTGGTATAGACAGCAGGGTGCTCACATGTGGTGGGGCATTAAGCCACTAACCCTATGGTTCCTCCTGTTAAACACTGGCACGTTTGATGTCTGGATAGAACCTCTATCTTTCCTGACATGTTACATCCTCTTTGTGATACCGTTAACACCTACTAGTACATGTTTCTGTTAATTATGAAACACATGATGGTTGTGTTGTAAAGCAGAAAATTAACATCCAATTTGGTTCATTCTTTAGAAAATTAACATCCAATTTGGTTCATTCTTTCCTCAAAAATAGAATTGGTTTATTTTCTTTTCAATATTTTGAAATGAATGAAATTTCTTCAAAGATTTTGATGCAGCTAATATTTATGTGTAATTTTGTATTTGCTTTATATGAACTATTTGTAGGCCTCCAGGGAAGTATTCCCCTTTCCCTTTCTGGACTTCATCATTGGATGAAGGATGTTATAGTAATCTTGAAGATGAATGGGATGCATGGGCTTCTGCTCAGTTAGCTTCTATTGGTTCCCATGTTCATGGGAAATTCTCACTTATGCAGGTATGCCTTTGAGCCTTCGATTATTTTTTTGTCATGCAATTTACTATAGTGGTTTGCAAAGTATTTAAGGTGACTTACAACTTTTCTTCTTTTGAACTACTTGCACCTTATGGTCTTTCTTCACTCAGTTGATCTATGTTGAAATGACTTGTAGTGTAATGGATGGTAGGTGCCACTTATAGTTTATGATATATGTACTTTTTTGCTCCACTTAATGGACTACCAATCCAGGATACCTTGACCTGGCCAAATTTGTTAATTTTGATCATACAAGTACATAGTGCACGATTGAAATGCATGTTTAACATTGAGACATTATGTTATCTTAGGACATTAAACAATGTACAGTAATTGGATTGTGGACATTTTAAAAAAACAGAACACTGTACTTTTAAAGGGACAATATACTTTAGTCTACTGTATTGGTATAAATTTATCACAATAAATAAATGATACAAAGTTCAATAATACTAATAACGTTTGTTTCTGTTTCTTAAGGTTATAAATTTATAGTAACTGGTGGGCTGATCTCAGCTATTCATTGAATGCACGAAAGTTTAAAAGATCGAAATTTGTAACTTGTGCTTGTGTGTTTACTTATGTCAACTGTAGGTTCAATCGAGTTAAACATAGTGGTTTCATGGTTTTCTGCATATTGAGAATCATTATGGTAACAAAACAACTGACATTGTACCGATACCCCCCTTCAAAAAATTTTCTGCCAATTTACACATCAAATAATGTTGTATCAATTGCTTTGTTTCATAATCAGCACTGTGCACAAGGCTATGCTGGTTTCAGATTTTAGTCTGGCACATTTGCTCAGGTCTCCATATGTTACTTCTGACTTCAAGAGGGCAGATGAATTTGCCTTTCTTTTTGTATTTTCATTTTTCTAAATGTTGTAATGAGTTAGATTCTATCTTACTGTTTTGCAGTTCATTGTCTTTGCAGAACTTATGTTAACTTCTATAAAGAGTCTGGACCCCACAGATTGTTGTAGTGTGTCATGGTGGTTGTGTAGATTATCTATGGTCCGACAGAACATTGTAGACGAGTTATCATCCACTTTGTTTGATCAAGTACAAGAGTACAAGAATAAGACATTGGCCCACTTTGGTGAACTTGAAAATGTTTTTAGCTACTGGGGTCCTTTGTTGTGTGATGGAGAAGGCTCATATTTTGTCTCAGCTGCTTTCTTAGAAGCTGGAATTGCGGAATATAAATATGGCAGAATTGATCAATCAAGGTTGGTCTCCCTTTTACAATTCTTTATGTTAGGGCTTTTAAAAGTTTGTTAGAAGGTATTCATCATTTGTTTGTTTTCATTACAGCCTAAACAACTGATACTAAACCTTGATTGAGGCTGTTATTTAAGATCAATAGGATTAAACTCACAGTTAGTAAATAATAGAGAATTTGTATGGACATTTGCATTTGCAGATTACAAATACATGATTTCCAATTATCATTTTCTAATTGGTCTCAAGTTAATTTCTCGTCATTCGATATGTGCTGCATGGCCATACATGGTGCTCTTAAGTAACTGCAGATTGTGTTGAGCATAACTAAATTCAGTAGTTGCAGCAGTTAGATATTTGTAATGCAAATATTGATAAAAATGTTATGCCTTCTACATAGGTTTGTTTCACTTAATGAAATTAAGGTTGTCAGGAAAATCTAGTTACGATGCTGCGCATACACTTCAATAAAAAATGTGGATGCTTATTTACAATCATTATCTACTAGGGATGGATGTGGGTGACTCACGGGTACTCCATAATCCGCACCAAAAGTAAAATTGAGTTCATTTAGTTGAACTAGGACGGGACAAGGTCCAAGGAGTACCTTTCTGGTCGATCCACGCAAACCCCTATTATCTATTGTAATTTCAGCAACCTGGAGACCCTAGAGCCAAGCTGAGCATAATATCATCTTTAAATTATTTTGATTCTGTATTTGATTAGGCTGCATCTGGATAGTGCTCAAGAAGCATGTGGGCTGCATCTCTCTCTCACAGGGATGCTTGGTTTTCGAACAATACATCAGGTGGGATTTTACTTCACTACTTGTCCCTTAGCTTCTGCTATGCATATGAAACTTTTCATAGATAGATTGATAGATGAATTATTTTCATTTAGCAAAGAATGCTACTTAGATGTATTTTTTGAGTCTTGACATCTATTTTGTTTGTATCACATACTCCCTCCGTTTCATACTATAAGTCGTTTGACTTTTTTCCTTAGTCAAACATTGTTAATTTTGATCAAGTTCATAAAAAAAATTAGTAACATCTAAAATATCAATTTAGTTTCATTAAATCTAACATTGAATATATTTTGATAATATATTTGTTTTGGGTTGAAAATACTATTATATTTTTCTATAAATTGATCAAATTTAAAGAAGGTTCACTAAGAAAAAAGTCAAACGACTTATAATATGAAACGGAGGGAGTAACATATAACCCTTCTTCTGTATGCTTCTTCAATGCGTCGTTTATGAAAAATGAGAAAATTATATTGTATCTTTGTGGTACTTCAGCTACATGATTTTAATCGTGTGTCACATGCATGGGCTAGAGATGGGAGAACTTAACTTTGGAAGACAGCCGGACGAGGTTTGTTGTTGGCGGAATGATGAGATGCCTACATGTCATTGAAAAATCAGAAAACACTAGGTGCGGTAGGGCAGTATAGGACTGCTAGGGGAGATTAGGTTAATGGTTTGCGTTACTCAATATTGATCTGCTCTCCTTATATGCTGAAGAGTCCATCCCTAACATGAATATAAAAGTACCCAACTCTATTAAGAATATGTATCCTAACAGTGCCCTTACCTAGACTCAATACTTAATGTCTTGAACTCTATCCAAATACTTGATGGACTAGAACTTGCTGGCTACTGTGGGTGCTTCTTCCTGCATATGTGTGCCTCCTGATGGCCATACTGTCCCTTGGTGTAGGTGGATGCAAAGTCCCAAATGGTACTTGTTGCAAACACAAGTGGACCAGCATCTGGTGAGGGACAAGTAACAGAACTCACAGGAACTCAGGATGATGCTGCTGCTTTAAAAAATGCAAGGAGTTCCGTTCCTGGTGAAAGTGATGAATTTTGTGATATACTAAGAATGCCAAGGCTGGTTGAAAATGATAATGATTCGGGTAATGACGAGAAGAAAGATCCAAGCAAAAAGGCAGTACTGACGGCTATGCAACAAGCTGCTGTCCTAGCAGAATGTTTGCATGTGAGCCGAAGGAGTCGGCATGATGAAATGTCTGGTATGCCATATTTTCATTCATTTTGGACCAGTATTGATGAACTTTTGTCCTGTTCTGAACGTTAGAAAGGCATTAATTTTTGTATTACAAAACTCTTGGTAACCTTCTAGTTTTCAAATGCACAAGGCTACAAAGAAGGGTCATTTTCTCCATGATCGCAAAATACACAAGTTTAAAAGCATCATGTAAAGTTCATGTTCATATCTGATATCTTTGTTTTCATGATACATCATACATGTTGTAAGTAAGTACGAATGTTTTGTTTGACCTGCACATTTTAGCTTGGAAGGCATTCGTAAGTCTCAATTTACAGAAACTGCCTGTTGTGGCTAAAGCAATGTACAATATCTTGGAATAGCATTAATTTGCTCTTCTATGAAAGTTTAAAACTCGGAGCTGTGTTGCATCAACAATTCCATCTTCTGGCACTCACTTAATTCATTTCTGAATCTTTATTTTTTTATGTAATTTGCCAATATTCATATTGTTTCTCAATTGATGTGGATTGTATTTTGTACAGTGTCACTCAAATGAATTTATTCAGTGAAAATCCCTAGTGAGATATGAAGTTTCAACTAAAAATGCCTTTAAGTTTTAAACCTCTATCCAAACTTGTTTGAACTAGTTAGTGAATAAGATAAATTTGATAACCAAATAAATTCAAACTTCCATATGAGTTGTATAGGTTATAAATTTAACTTAAATGATGGTGCCTGGGCACTATATAGCCTAATAGCCCTATATAGAGTAAAATGTATATGGCCCAGACGATCTGAAAGGAAAAAAAGGTCTACCGAAAAGAAAAGTATGAAGATCTAAAACATATGTGAACTAATAACATCAAACACATTAGCAGGCATAAGAATGTTCTAAGCATTCTGCAACTAGTAAGAATGTTATACCCTGATACCCCTGCATTATGTGTAGCATAGCAGCCCCCTGATCAGATGGACATCGTGAGATATGACACGAATGTGCATGGTCAGCACTGAAGTTAATGAATTCTATAGAAATCACAACAGCAAAGAAATAATCCACAATAAAAGAGAAGATTTGGACCTCCAAAGAATACAAGGAAATCGTCTTGATCACATGGCCCTCTTGTCCCCTTTGGACCCTCAGATTCTTGCCCTATACAAGAATCTAATGCTAATGGATTTCTAAGCTCTAATCCTCTTATATGCCCTTTTTTCTTCTTTTTTTTATGACCAACCTCTCGCTTGATTTTGGCTTGGCTTCTTAGGGCCTTCTCCTTGGGTATTTATACCCCATGATAGTCCTCCAAAAGAAAGTAGGAACCCTAATCCTAATAGATTAGCTAGGAATCCTTTTGGCTTTCTTATCCCTTTTTTGCCTGAACAACGTTGGAGATCTGCTTGTTATTTATTGAGGAGGGGGAAAAGAAGTACAAAAACAGGATGTAAGCCCTGACCCAAACACATGCACGCGCACCCCTCAAACAGCATAAATAAAACACTGCACAAGCGCACATACACCCAAAAAAGGGAAACAACTGAGCTGCCTAAGGACTAAAGACCCTGAACGAGCAACCAATGCTGGAGAATTGCAAGGTCTTTAGCACCAGCCATTTCACCAAAGAGAGCCCTCATGGGCTACAGACCTCTCAACAAGATCAACACTAGTAGTCCTGTTAAACACAAAATCACATCTGTGCTTCCAAAGCTCCCATGCAACGAGAGTAACAAGGGAGTGAATCCTTTCCTGAGCTTCTTTGGGACTTGCTTGGCAGCACCACACACCAGCTAGAAAAACAGGTAGTGTCTAGCTGAGGAGCAAACACACTCAAACCCACTTTTTGCTCCAAATCCATATTTTCCTTATCCTTTTTACAATGTAAATTTCTTTGATGCTCTTTTATTCATTATATATATCACTCAAATGATATGCATAGTATTTTTCATGTGTTTTGCTATGCACATGTAAGTTATTTGGCATTTTTATTTACACAGGGTGGGAGATGGCACCGTTCATAGAGTCAATTGATTCTCAGGAGGATTCCTACTTTGTGGTATGCTTTAATTGCATCAAATGTCTTTGCTCAAAGCTTGTGCATCCTTAAAACACAGATGCATTATAAAAAATAGAACTGGCAAAGGTTGCTCTCTAACCATGTTTGTACCATTGTTCACTGAACCTTTTAACTCAATCTTACATGTGTACATAAACATGAAAAAGGCTACATTGCTGGATATTTTGCTGTGTATTGTCCAATTATGTTTATAGTTGTACCATTACCGCTCAGCTTTTGTCAAATGAAGTTCTGTTGTGCATTTATTATTTCAGGTCAGGAGCTTGTGTGATATTCTGCGTATTAGATGGGAGTCCACCCGCAATCGGACTAAGCAGAGGGCGCTATTGATGATGGAAAATATGGTAAATGCATTATTAATTACTACATTTACACAATTTTCCTATTAGGTTTCAATCATGTTTGTGTGTTAGACATGCATTTTGCTTTTAGTCTTACAAACTGATTAAAATCCATATGTCTGCTCATGCTTTAACCAAATCATCACCACAATACTACACTTTTAAGATACTTTTTTTTAACAGAATTACGTGTTCTTTGTCAATTTTCATACCCATCGCCAAGATATACTTATAATGAGCTCTAGTTAATGGGCTTCAACCAGCTGCAGCAGCGGAGCTACCTCCCTGGCAGGCACCGCTATGGTTGGCCTCAACCGCTGGAAATTTCTGTGGACTATCACTAGCTACTATGGGCCTCTTGTTGCCTGGACTCGAGATTTTCACTGGCTCCAGCACTGGTCAACTGGATGCTAGATATAAGCGTCACATGGTCTTCTGCCAATTAAAATGACTAAGATAGAGCTACTTTGTGGTCGTGTGGTCTAAGTAGTGCCTTGCTTCTACAACTCCACTGTAGAAAATCGACCAACATGTCGTACGCTTATTCGTCTAGTCCACATGGCACTCAACATGATGTGTTTGTCTTGTGGCAGCTTCCAGGATTTAATGGTCATTATAGGAAATAATGACATACTTGGATAATTGATTATAGTTTGATAGGGTATTGCAAAAACTTCCAGGATATGTTTCTTATTTGGCTGGAGGCAAAGCACAGTTCTTGCTATTCTCCACAACCCTACACTCCCAATTACACCCTGAGCCTTCTAGCTTGCAAACTGTTCACCCTCATGTAGTTAGGAGCCTTAACCATTTTTTGTTGGGTCATAAGGAAGCACTAATAGGAGTCCACCTGTTAGAACCTCGAACTTGCAGAGTTCTTTAATCTTCTGTACAGTATGGTGATCTGGTCCAGTTCTTTCTCTGCTATAGTTTTCATCCCAACATTAGCAGAATTCCTTCAAGGAAACACTCTTGAAACAATTTACCTAAAAAAAAGCGCTGTTGAAACATTAGTTTCTTCATTTACTTGATTGCTAGGCCAGTTCTTTGTTAGATCAAATTATTGTGCTGGCAATGGGTAGATGTTGCAAATATTAATCAGAACATAGTGTTTAAATCAGACAGGACAAACAACCAAATCCATGTTGCTAGTTCTGGTTGTGCATGGTGGTTGCTGTATGGATCTACAAATTTGTTTCATGGAGGAGAATCAATTTTTTTGCATGATTATCTTTAATCAGTTTATTAACTTTGTATGTTGATTGTTGAATATTTTCTTCTACTAGTAAGATGCCCATTCGTTGCAACGGGAAAAACTAAAATACTATTATGAAGGTTTAATTTTTGTGATTTGAGCCCTTTAAGAAGACATTCAGTTTACTTCAATTATTTGTGATTTAATTAGTTCATGGAGCATTTTGTGCCATGTAGATTAATTTGCAATTAACTATTTTGCACTCTACCACATGTAGCAATCATCTCTGTACCTTGTAGAATGTCCCATCGTAAGAACTGAAACAAAGATACAATTAACATTGTAGCAAGAACAGTATATCATGAGCACCAATCATCTAAATTCCGACAAACAATCAGCCCAAAGAAGTTGAATCGAATTCCAATGAACGTACAGAAACCTGCTGCTCAAGATTTCCCTGGAAATCTTTTCGACATCCAGGTCACAGGCTTGCATAGGCCTTGTGATGCAGCTTGCATAGGTCATTCTCTGCTCTGCTCTGCTCTGTCTCTCTCTCTCTCTCTCTTTGTCTCTCTCTCTCTCTCTATGTCTCTCTCTCTCTCTCTTCAAACCATCTACACACGCATGAAGAAATGGAAAGAGCAGGGTGTGCCGGAGACAGAAATCGACAAGATATGATGAAGCGGCCATTGAAGCACAACGATCACAGCTCCAAGCGCATACACGGCGAAGTGTTATCAGTCTGCCACAGCTTGTGGCCAGAGGCAGTTCACATTGAGAATTGCATAATCTAGAGTTAAAAAGTAGAGAAGGGTCTAACTATCTCTATATACCCTGACACGATCTCACTATCCAATATGTAACTATATATAGCATTAGGTATTCAGGTAGATGTGGTCATATAATTTACCATCGATTGGGAAAGCAAAAGCAAGACTATCATATGGACATGAAGATGAGCCACGATGCAACAGAATCGGATTGGAAAAGAAGACACGTTCTGGTGATGCGTGGAAGAATCCCAAAAAAGAAACAAAGCAAAATAAGCGCGGTGTATAATTAGAAACAGAATCAGAAAGAGAAAGTCACGAAGTGAATTTTTCCAACGCGGATGCGTAGTGGAAGAAACTAATCGACAGCCTATGTGGATGCATTGCAGCACAGATGACACGACTACGTGCGGGCGACGTACAAACGATCCAAAGGCCAGTTGGAAGCAGTTTTCGTTTTTTAAGTAGTAGAGATATCTAATTGATTTATCCGCATGTTTGTATGTTGAACACTTTGTGTTAGGTCAAATTGATTTACCCATTAATCATGATAATTAATTAGATCTTATTTTGACCTGATTTGGAAGCCAACAATCCTCAGCCCATCCCAGTGTTTCGGCTGGGGTTTCTGGGCTCCCAAAACAGGCCCTCAAGAAGGTTGGGGCAGGACTGGTACTTAAATTTGATCCATTTCCTTAGGTTGAAGATGTTGGCAATGATTTCCCTGTGGCTGCACAGAGAGCCAAACTGGTTTTTGGAGTTCAGATGCCAACTATCCCTGCATTAAGAAAGTATGTGCTGATAATCCTACTCCTTGCTCTCTTTTTTTTTTCTATTTATTTCTGGAAAACTAATGTGACTTGTTTTGCTACATATCAACTCAGAGAATATGGTGAGCTTTTGATAAGCTGTGGTATAGTTGGAGAAGCACTGGATATTTTTAAAGACCTTGAATTGTGGGATAATTTAATCTACTGCTATCGGTATGCATCCCATTTGAAATAGACCTGGCATACATTCAGTTAGTAGTGTACCTGTATAAGTTAACAGGTGTTGCTGTAAAAAAAGTTAACAGTTGTTCTTTTGCAGATTATTAGGTAAAGTTGCTGATGCCACTAGTCTAATAAATGCTCGAATCTCTGTTACACCCAATGACCCGAGATTATGGTAAGTAGATTTTGGAGATTTTGTTGGATTTACTTGAGATGTTCTAGGTTAGAGCTTGCAGATCCATTTTTCATGTTATTTTAGCAATTGTCTACTACTTAATAAACTCTGTAGCATATCTTCTACAGTTCCATCCACAATTCTGTATCATTTTTATTTGGAGCCAGTATGGAGCATTTATTTTTAAATAAATGTCAAAAAAATTATACACATACTTTGATCAGAATATCCTAAATTACATATTTACACTTCAAAAAAATTGCAATGTCTAACTATGACACTAGGTAGCTGACCACCCTCACAACTTTCTTGAAGGCATTCCATTTGATTTTCGTCTGACATGTTGCTGTAGCCATAAACTATACATATTATGGAATGCCTCGTTGGCTGATGGAAATTATTTTCATCTAGGTGTTCACTTGGCGATGTTACTAACAATGATGATCATTACAAAAAAGCATTGGAAGTCTCAAATAACAAATCTGCTCGAGCTCTGGTATTTTCCTTCCTCAGGCGCATTTCTCATAAACCTGTTACTAGTGCATGTTTTCATATATTGAGTATTTGTCTCAAGAGTTGTTTATCTATCGGTGTAGCGTTCACTGGCTCGCAGTGCTTACAACAGGAATGATTTCCATGCATCCAAAATGCTCTGGTATGATACTAACTTCGAGAGAATTGTTTATTTACATTTTCACTAAAAATTTTCCTAATATTTGAATTTTGGGTAGGGAATCTGCATTGGCGTTGAATTCTTTGTTTCCAGATGGCTGGTTTGCATACGGTACAGTGGCATGGAAGGTAACTTTTCAAAGTTTGTATTTATTTTGTGCATCAATTTTTTTTGAGAGGTACAGTTAATTGCCCACTAATCGATAATATTGAAACTGAAATTTGGCTGTCGGTACTATGAGCCATAATTTGTGTTGTATTTACTTCCCTTCTTTGTAAATGCATACTAAATACTATAAACATGTATTTTACTCTGGTTCAATGATACCTCCGTGTGTTTTACCAGTAGTATTAACTTTTGGGGGCATGGGCATGATAGGCGTGGATAATTTGATGAGTTGTATAACAAATGCAAAGTAATCGTCCTCCTGTATAATGTTCCTGTTCAGTGTTCACGATCTCATATCAGATGGGTATGAAAAGGAACCAGGAGAATGAAAATTGTCTGCATACCTGTCACATGTTTAGGCATTTATATGCACTTGTGAATAACCAAGAACTTATACAATTAAGTTTTCTTTTTATTGTCTTAGTGGGATGACTTTGCTACATGCAGACTTTTAGTTGCAAACATTTTTTTAAAGACCTTTCCTCTTTCACTTCCTTCCACTCTGCTTCCACTTGGATGGTTATTGGATATTTGGATGCTGTAAAAATTGTATGTATTTGGCATAAGTATGCATAAACTTGTAACTGTGACATAGTAATTCTCTTCTAACGCAGGATAAAATATCATCTAGCATTAATGTGTAAGAGAAGCTTTGCTTGCCTAAATGTTTGTTCTAGTATAATGTCTATTTCCCCATTATCATTCAACTTAGTTCACCATGATATTAATGGCCATCTGAGCTGCAACCATGACTGCATTGTAGTAGTTCTTCTGCCCGTAGCTCTGTTAACAGATTTGCTCCTTTATAACATATATGGTAGATGGACACTATTGAAAGTTATTTTCAAATAATTAAGGACTTGGAGAACTGAAATAATCTACTGTTTTGTTTTGTGCGTACAGGATAAAGATCTTGAGAAAGCTGTGGACGCTTTTACTCGTTCTGTGCAGATAGATCCTGAAAATGGAGAAGCATGGAACAACATAGCCTGCCTGTATGCTCACTTTTCATATTTATTTTCTTCATTATTGTGCCCTGATTTCATTTATTCACCTCAAAGTTTCAGTAAATTTTCCTCTGTACCGGTAATACTATTTCATTTGGAAAATTTTAAGTCGCCAGATCAACCTAATTTTGCAGAGTTTTTTTTTATTTACTTAAGAGTTATTTATTTATTTATTTCACTTTAGTCATCAATTCTTGGGTATAGATATATTTGATTAGAAACCATCACCTTAAAAACAACTGCATGGAGAGACTTGTGTACTTAAGTGTTGAGAAGTTATGGTATTGGTGTAGTAAGTATGCAAATAAGTAACTACTATGCAAGCTTTAGTCGTTAGGTGGAGTTAACATGTTCTGGAGATGGAAAAGCTAGCCTTGTTGGTCTGAGGAAGTATTTGGACATTATGTTATCACGAAGCTTGGGTTTTCTAGTGTTATAGGTTCACTCTTGGAATATATCTCTAATGTAGTTTACTATCCAGGCACATGATTAGAGGAAGGAGCCAAGCAGCAGTCCAAGCATTCAAAGAAGCTGTAAAGTTCAAGTGCGTATAACATCATATTGTACAAAATTTATTACTTTAATTCTGTAAAGTTTCTGATTAAAAATAAGTCAATTGTTTTTAGGAGGAATAGTTGGGAGGTTTGGGATAATTACAGTAAGGTTCTTTTGGACACAGGAAGTATTCAACAGGTGAGCTGTGTATTGATGTCAAAGACTCAGTTTATATTTCTTTCTTGAAGCTTGCATTTAAATTTTTAGGTGATGTTTATTTGAGACTCATCACATGCATAAGTTTCTTATATATTCGAGAGCTCATCTCCTAATTTTATACCCACTTTTATTGCTTTCACGCAATCTCCTTGTTAACAATGGTCTATTTCTTCATTTGTCTTTTTTTTGGTCTCATTCATTACGAAATGTTGATAATCATCTTTTTAAAGATAGTTTTCCATACTTTACCATACCATGAAGAAAAAAAACCCATTGGTTGTTCAATTTGTTGCAAGAAATCATGTAGGCGCCAAAGCTCTACAATTGCACTTTCTAAGTCCAAACTACATATGGTTCTATCCTACAAGCGATCTGACACCTGCCCTTGGTCCTCCAAGGTGGTCACCACCCAGTGGAGAGCAATTTACTTTGGATGCCGAAATGGCCAACATAAATCATAAACCAAAAGGACAAGGAATCCACAACAGTCAACCAACCTAATTTAGGTCTCTACTGCAGAACACCACTTTCTCGCCTTGTCTTGTCCAGATCCGAGGCACGGGAAAGCCATAAGGATAGAGAAAAGAGGCCAAAACATTGTGATGCCATGTTGGCAAGTAATATGATGCCTAAGATGTTGTGAGATGCAGCCACGTGTAATTTGGATCGTACTATAAACCCTTCAAACAAGTTTAGTTACATGTGTTTTTCCTGAGCATTTAGCTCGATGAGGATTTTTATCTCATTTGAATATCTCAGACCTATATGCGAGCTAGTATGATTTTTTTAATTTGTTTATCATGATTATTGAGATAATATGAGGTACCCTGTGCAGACACTAGAGGCTGTCAAAATGGTACTAAACCTATCCTCGAACAAACGTTTCAACATTGATTTGTTGGAAAAGGTGATGGCCATGCTTGAAGAACAACCTACACATCTCTCTGATACTCAAGAAGCTGAATCTTCCAGAAGCACCTCAGATGATGCAAATCAAGAGACCAGGAAGTACAACCAGTTGTTAGATATAATTGGTGATATCCTTCAGCAGGTTTGTAAGCTCTATGAGTTGCATTTCATCTTAATTCCAACATCTCTTTGATATTATAAGTCTGATTGGTATTGTTTGTAGATTGTACGAAGTGGGGGTAGCAATTCGGAGATATGGGGTTTATATGCGAGGTGGCATAAGACGAAGGGTAACCTTATCGCATGCTCTGAAGCTATGTTGAAGCAAGTTCGGTCTCTCCAGGTGCGTATGCTATGCTTATGCTGACAGTGATAATGCCTTTTCCTCTTGCCTATATTGGGGAGCCTTCTAGTACCAAGTACCAACAAAACAGTGTGTTGGCTCATTGTAAGACGGGGTGCCCTATCTGCTACTACCTCCGTCCAACAAAAAATGCAATCATATCTTTCAAATTTTGTCCCACAAAAAGTACAATTCTAGAGTACTACATGTCCCATCAATCATCTCTCATTCAAATTTCTCCCCATCTTACCCCTAATCTCCCTCCCACAGTCCCACTCCTAAGCACCCTTTATTTAATTAGGGACATTTAGGCCATTTCACTTTCCTACTAATTTGTCCTTCAAATGCTAGGATTGCATTCTTTGTTGGACAGAGTTTTTTTTTTTGTGTGTAATGGAGATCGCGTATCAAATTTTCACAAATCTGTCCTGAGTTATTGAGACAACATTCCAGATCTCGATTGGAAGTAGAATTTGGACCTGTCCACTGGGAAAATTGGATTCCAGTGTATCTAGTAGAGAGCATAAGTTTTATGATGCTTGGAGTTTTGGGTAGAAACCATTTGCCAGAAAAAGAAAAAAAGAAAGGTCCATTTGGACCCCTTAAATTTTTGTAGTTGTCTGATCGGAACTATCCATCGTACACCCAATACTCTAATGGACCCCTTGACCAAACCATGCTCCTTCTGATTGACCGGGATCACTATCTATCGTACATTTTTTTATATGCAAGCATTGAGCAAAAGATATGATGAATGAACAAACAAATTAAGAAAATTGTATGCCCACGTGTTATCATCTTTTTAAAATCTTCATGCACTTTGGCATTGGCTATCTCTTGCTGGCTTATCAAAAGGTACTTGAGCAAGGAGCCAACAGCCACGACCATCACATGCTACTGCTTGAGCATAGCATATTGTTTGTCTGCCTACCATTAAAAGTTTCACTGATTTCTCCTATTTCTGTGTTTCACCTCCTCATGGCCCCGAGTCCCTGACATACCTTGCTTGGATGATAGTTATGGCAGGTGGCTTAACTGTTGCTCTACTAGAAAATCTGCTTGAGCATAGCATGCTAGTGTTGTATTGTCGCAGTGATCTTGCGGTCTGTTGAGTTCATGCATGACATGCTTGAATGGACACTGGCTTTCTTTTGCTACTTTCTTTTTGCAAAAGTCAGGATGGTAATTTTACCGGATCCGGATCCTCTGCATTTTGAACTGCTAATGCAAGGTGCTACAGTGTTTTGCATTAGCACTTGAGCATTAAAAACAAACGGCTCAGATCAGTTAGGTACTGTAGCATCAGTATTTATCAGTCAGCTAGTACTATCACATTCGAGCTGTGGATGTTGACCATTGGCATAGGATTGTGAGTGGATGGTGCAGATTTCTCTTAATGCAATTTACTGTAGCATTTCTCCATTTTCTATACTCCTTTATAAGGTAGCGGTGGTGGCCCTGAATCTGCCACCCCACCTACTTCCATTGCAAATTATCCCTTGAACTTCTTAATATTAAAAAACAAACAAATCTAAATGGATGGCCACATATAAATTGAATTGAGGTGAACATTCCTTGTAGAAAAAAAAATGTGTAACACACAATTTTATACTCTAATGCAGAGGATCACTATCCAATTTTACCATGTTGACCCCTAGCAGCAAGTCTGCGGATGTAGAATGCAGATTTCTGCTTCATTTTCATCTCAGGAAATCATTTAATGCTGGCTGTTTTATATTTGATGTATATTTAATCTTGTGGTACCTTGTCCTGTCATATTATTAATTTATTATTGTACTCGCAGGGTTCTGGACTATGGCATGACCAGACGAAGTTCACTAAGTATGCTCAAGCTTCCCTGCAGCTTTGCAAGATCTATATGGAAATTTCTTCTTCGACTGGAAGCCAAAGAGAGTTATTTTCAGCTGAGATGCACCTTAAAAGCTCCTTAAAACAGGTATCTTTTTTTTTTTGCACTGTTCCTCTTCCCTGGTATGAAATTAGTAGGTTGGACATGACTTTAGGATCATTGACTAGAACAAGGGGTTATTGTGGGATGCTAAGATTACCTGCAACAAATGGCTCGGAAACAACATTATAAAAAGAAAAAATATACCATTTCTAAACCATTTAAGTCTGTTTGTTTTTAATGTTCAATTCCTCCAGATTGCTCATTGTTGGAACTTTTCTTGTCTAGGCTTCAGACTTCTTACATACCCCTGAGTATAAAGCTCTCGATGACTGCCTTGCAGAAATAAAAAACCTTATTGGCCCTGCCTAGAGTTATTAAGGTGGGTTTGAGCTATCTTAATTTTCATTTCCTTAATGAAGTTTTGACTGTGGTACTGAAATTCGATAGTAACTGCTCTAGAGACAATAGTGAATGTCTAATTTCTGTGAACCTCTGGAAGTAATTATTTCTCTCTGTAGATTGGGTAGCAGTCCAGCGAGCAGAATTATGTTTAATTACTGTAAATACCTTTTCTTCCCATTGACATATTTTGTTAGAAACATGGAAAGGTATTCATTAGAAATCACAATTAGGTAGTCCCCGGCTTACCTAGTCAAGTTATTGCTGCCATGAGCTTATTTTATGACTCGCTTAGTCTGGTGGTGTTGCCTACCATCAGTATTTGCCATCACTGCATATCTGTCGTGTGATATAAATATGCTCCAGGAAAAATGCTCAGCTTAGAGCAAGTCTAATAGTGTAGTAAGCTATTAGCTCCAAAAATGACCATGTCAGGAAAATATTTGGCTTTAAGATGGTTTATACAATAGTTGGGCTTTAGCTTGTCTATATTCACGAATTCAATTTTTTAATCAGACCATAACTGCACCATTCACTCATCCTCCTGCTGTATTGGCTGCATGCCAGTGAAAATTAATGTTGCATCTTGTAGCGCGCGAGGAGCTAGGTCACTCTTGCTCTCTCGTTCTTCTAATCTCTTTTCCAGGTCACCAGCAAAACTGAGATGGCACTCCTATCGTGGGCTGACGTCCTTCTTTAGCCCAGTCCATGATTCAGTTCCTGTTTCCTTGTAGATCTCGTCGTGAATCAAGATCACCTCGTCAGAATATTCCTGAGTTCCCATTGAAGAAATGACGACAAGCATCATCACGGGAGACGGTTCTTAACACATGCAACTTAAAAGTTATACTCCTGTGCCAGGAAACCATGGTGGAAGAGTACCTGTTGTAATCTTAATATGTAATTTTAGCAGCATATGTGGTCATATGAGGAAGAAGGTCTGCGCAATTTTGTTATAGCTATGTTTTAACTGCCAGTACTTGTTATCTGAATAGTTGCACTCTGAAGTCTGAACACCCTTTTTCTTTTGCATCAGCCATCTGATATGCTGGGAACATTTATTTTACTACCCTGGTTTCGAAGTCAAGCTAAGCGACATCAAATTCAAACAACCTATGGCCATCTGATGACTCATACTGGTGTCTCCCTTGCAGCATGCCTTATGGTGTCCACTGTGGCATACTCTGATACCCAAGCCCTGTCTTGTTTTTCTGTCACCTTGGTCTGCCTACTTTGAGTTTGAGAAAGATAACCGAGGGCACGTAGCATAGAAACCAGAATTTTGGCTCTTTTTATTTTCTTTTTAGCTACTTCATCGGATTATTATTGTCACATTATTTGCTACAAACTTTAAAAAATATGTTTCCTGAAAAAAAAAACTTGTATGGCATTTTCTTGGATCAATCTTTTTCAGACTGGGCCTTACGAGTATCTTCAAGACGAGGAATAGGTGTTGTGAGGGAACTGTCAATCTTGATGATTCGCTCAAACAAATATTGGACAATTTTCCAATGCCTGATCAGTTGGTGTGGACAAGTAACTCGAAATCTGGTTTGTCCTATATGCGAAACAACATTCCCGCTTTCATTACTCCCTTTGCCCTTAAGCCTTTGCTGGACTGCTACCGAAGGAGTACTGGAATAGGAAGGCATACTTAGTTCATAATAGTCCCACCCATACCGGTTCTCTGTTTTCCCTTTTTTTTTTCCTCCTCGGAGAGATTAACACGTGGTTGGCTGTTTTGCAAAAAACCTATCGTGTTTACACGGAATATCACAATATCATGAATATACCTCGTATTTCAGAGAAATACAACACGAAGAATTCTAGGGGTAGCATTGTAAATATAAAAAAATAAAGGGGCTTTTCCAAAACAAAACCACATCTACCCCACCTGACTGTGCCCCGCGCCGCCGCCGTCCTAAGGCTGCTGCCACCGCCATCTGCCCTCCCCTATTGCCATCATCGACCGTCCTCCCCTAGCCACCGCCGTCGTTGACTACCCTCCCCCCCTCCTCGCCGCCGCCGCGTCCCTGTTTTGTCACACCACCGTGTGTCGCCCTCCTTGCCAACGAATCCGGCCACCTAGGGAAATGGGACGGTTGCAAGCCGTTGCCGCCCCCTTCTCCCTTCTCGCCATCTCCACTCCATTATGCTAGATCTAGCTCGGGGGCGGTCGGAGTCGGTCTCCTCACCGGTGCATCCGGTCACCCAGAACCACCTTCGACCATGGGTGTCCTCGTTGGTGGATCCGGTCCCTAGAGGGCGACGCACGGGTATCTCCGCCATTATCGTCTTCTCTCCCTCTCCACCCCACCAGCGGCCCTCTCTCATTCTCCGCTCTTTTCCTCTCCCTCTCCACCTCGATACCGGATCTGGCTCAGGGGCCGTCGGATTTGTTAAGAGGAGGGTGTTTACACCCAAATTTGGCACCTATGGACGAAATAGGGGAAAATTGCCAAAGTTTGGAAAGTGACGGGTTTTTTTTATAGGGCCGGTCAGACCACAGCTGTGTGGGCGGTCTGACCGGTTAGTAGGGCCGGTCTGACCGCAGGTATGTGGGCAGTCAGACCGGCAGGGTCCGAGTCCGAGTTTGTTTCGTCAGGTCTCGGGTTTCCTTGCTCGAGAAGGCATGTTTCGTGTTTCCTTTGGTTTCTATCCCAAGTTGGGCGTGGAGAAGGGCCTGTAGAGGGCAAGACCAACCCCTATTTAAGGGACAAGGCCGGTTCATTGTAAAACCCCCGAATACAATTTACTTGAATCGTTCTTTTACTACATTTTCTATTTTACCCTAGTTTTAGTCCATATTTGTCGGTTTGCGCCGTAAACCGTCCGCCGCCGCTGCGAGAGTGCGACACCTCTTTATAGGTTTGTCCTGAAAACCTTCCGTTTTGCCCACGAGACGGGTAGTTATCCTCATATCGATCTAAATCGAACTAGAGGCTGATTTTGATCTCTAAATTGGCTCTGCTAGCCGGTTTAGCTATTTTTCTACAAAACCCATCTTGATTTGGCCCTTTGGCTAGATCGAGGTGGTTGGCGACTCTATATCACCGCAAGACGTTTAGGTGTTGTGATCATGCTTGTCGACTTGTCACAAAAAGTTGCCAACACGATTTTTGGTGACTTCGCTGGGGAACGATCTAATCGGCCATACTACGGCCAAATTTCGTTTAATCTAATAATTACTGTTTCGTCGAATCATCGAATTAGTTTCGGCTAAACAGCCGGAATTAACCTACACTGTAATTATTATTGTCGCCGACATTGGTTTTGTCTTCAAGCTTAAGCTTAATTGTTCTGTTCGATCACGGCTAGACGTTAAACTGTGTTCACACAGGGAGCAGCAGCCGGATTAGCAACATTGTTTCCTTTTTGTTCCACACGGCAACAGAAAGATTTGATTGACCAAAGCTTACTGTACACGGGTTAGAAAAGATCAGGCTATTCAAGCCGATCTATTACTATTCACATTAAAAAAAGAAAGACAAAAACCGATTCAATTTGTATCGGTTACACTGTGAAGCTTTAGATTAGTTTCCAAATTTTGCTAAGTCTACTCGGTTGATTACCAAATAAATCAAATACTTTTGCCGAGTACACCAAATAAATCAAATACTTTTGCCGAGTACAGTAGCATACAAGGAAAATTTTAAGACCGTATATTAATTTATTCGGTCAAATATTTTGGCTATGAGCTATATGGCCGAAATTAATCAAGGATTTTCTTCATCAACTATGATAAGCGGGAACGGGTTCAACAATACTATTACACAATACATTAGGACCGACCACGGCGTCGTGAGAGGAAACGCCCCGCTACCTCAAGTTGTAGTTTCACCAAAAGGTAACCTCCGATTCGCCCAACCCATACTTTGCTATTCAAAAGGTTAATGATCGTTGTGTAGATGCATATGCTACTTCTAGTTTTGCTTCTATACAATATGCTTATAATGCTATGGGGGTCAATGGGTGTTTATATGGCCAATTACACAGGAATCGGCTATATGCAAAATCTAGCTAACGGTATGACTGGTCATGGCACCGGTCTAACCGCATCCTATGCCGGTCAGACCGTGCCCACCATGGCCGGTCAGACCGTGTGCTACGCCGGTCAGACCGTGCCTACCATAGCCGGTCAGACCGTGCTCTATCCTGGCCAGATCGCGCCTCCTGTGGCCGGTCTGACCGCACCACTGACTACCGGTCAGACCGGGCTATCTATAGCCGGTCAGACCGGTTCCCTGGGAATTTCTCTAGGTTTTCATACCACGACTAGCAGTACTGATTTTAATTATTATTCATCACCTGTTAATACTGCTAGTCATGCTATTCCACATATCCCTAATGCCTACAATGATATTAATAGGGGATATCCTCCCGATACTAGGTATGGCCAATATAACAATATTGTGCCGCAACAACCACCTTCTAGGCCACCAAGTCCACCACCAGATCCACCAAGGCCTAAAACTGTGGAGGATTGGTTTAGAAATACTATCAGGGAGAATTTCGCAAAGCTAAGGAATCTTGCTAGGGAGTACCAAAAGGCGTATCCTGATTATTATGACATTATCCCATATCCTCGTGGTTATAAAATTCCTGAATTTACCAAGTTTAGTGGTGAGGATAGTAGGACCACATGGGAGCATGTAGATCAATTTTTAGCGCAATGTGGTGAGGCTAATTGGGATACATGTAAATTGCGCTTGTTTTCTTTATCTTTGTCCGGTACTGCTTTTACATGGTTTACTTCTTTACCGGTAAATTCTATTTCTACTTGGGCTCAATTAGAACAAAAAATTCATGATTATTTTCACACTAATGAAACTGAGCTTAGGTTGTCTGATTTAACATCGGTTAGGCATAAATACAATGAATCTGTTGCTGATTATATCAAGAGATTTAGGGATGTTAAAAACCGATGTTTTAGTTTGAAAATAACTGACAAAGATTTGGCCGACATTGCATATGATGGATTGCTTGATTCTATTAAAGAGAAATTGAATGGCCAGATATTTCTTGATGTTGATCATGTGTTGCATGAAGCTCTGGCTCAGGAAAGCCGAGTGGATGACAATAGCTTACGTGCTAGTATAGATGAAAGTGCAATATCATGTATAGCCGAACCAAGCAATGGTTCGGATTGTGTTAATAATTTGTGCAATGATGCCATAACAATTATAGCCGAACCAAATGTTGGTTCAAATTGTCTTGCTAGCTTGGATAATAATGCAACAACCATTATAGCCAAACCAAGCGATGGTTCGGATTGTGTTACTAGTTTAGACAAATATGGAATAGCCGAAACAAGTGATGATTCGGATTGTGTTGCTAGCTTAGAGAATAGCATCATTGAAAATATAGCTGAACTAAGTGACGGTTCGGATTGTATCACAAGCGAAAGTGAAATAGTGTTGTCACCTAAAACCGAATCACAAATCGGTCATGTGGATGTTGGAAAAGATGATGATAATGTCTTGCGGGATAGTAGTGAAATAGAATCCAAAGTAGCAATGCATACATATCAAAGGCCGTATCCTGAACACGTAGATTCGGTCCCATACCCGCAAGGATTTGAAGTGCCCAATTTCACAAAATTCACAAGTGAGGATACTAGAACAACAAAGGAGCATATCGGCCAATTCATCGATCAATGTGGTAAGGCCGGTAATGATGATTTGCTTAAGTTAAAATTGCTTCCTCTTTCTTTGTCAAACTTTTCATCTACATGGTTTAGTTCGCTTGCTCCTAATTCAATTTCTACATGGTCACAAATGGAACATGAGTTTCATGGTTATTTCAAAGATGCAAGCTTGATGGAGCAAAGACCGGTTGATACTTCATCGGTCACTTGTGAAACAATTTCGGTTACATCTATGCCATAGACCGAAATTTTTAGTAATCCTCTCCCTATTAGTCCTATTGATGTTGACAAAAAGAAAGGGAAAAGTGTTATTATTGGGGATCCTCGGCCCAAGAATAGGATCAAAAATGCGAAGGCCGAAGATCATAAAGTTGCAAAGGATGAGTCATCTAGTTTCCAAATGACCAAAAAGCCGAAGCTCACTTTTGAGATGTTTATGGCTAAGTACAAGAAAGGATTAGCCGGTCAACGATTTGATAATCAAACTAGTGATTCAAAAAGACCAAGATTATCTCGTAGGAAGAGATTTGGTCAAACATCAAACCAATCGGAGCCATCAACTATACCAACTCCATACAAACCTCCAGTTGTGATGCCATGGTATCCATATTCAATGTCACTATATGG